CTCGCAGCAGCAAATCCCGCTCGTGGCGGGATTGAACGGATAACTCTTGATCGACTTTACGCAATGAATCTGCGTCGAGACCGCGTTTCCCCTGGAATCAAGATTACTCACTTTTTCTGGCTCGTTCCAATCCAGGTCGGGAATCCAGGACGAACATTGTCGACCTTGAAATCACTCCTCGATCACGGAATCGAATAATATGGCAAAGACGCTATAGGCCTCAAGGATCAGGCGCGTATATCCTCGTAAAAGTCGGAATTCACCAGGTCAGACTGGATCACGTACATCAAGGTTGAGCCTCAAGTGAGCGCGCGTGTCTTCAGCGCGTCGAACGGACTCCTTATCACATATTTCTTCAGTAAGAAAGCATTTTCGCGTCCGAGAACAAAATCAAATATCTCTATATAAAAATTTTATTTTATTTAATTCGATTAAAATAGGTAAGACACAAATTTAAATTTCACAGAACCAATTTCTTTTTCAGCTGTGGAGAAATTAAATGGAGAAATTAAGAAGAAGATTTCAAGAAATTATATATCGGGAAAGGTATTTTCGATGCTATGAGAGAGAGAAAGAGAAAATAAAATGCTTTTTGAGGATTTATCTTTCCTAATTCTTCAATTTAAATATTTTTATTTTCTAATGCTTGAATTTCTTGACATATTGTTCATATTAAATACAGATTAAATATAGATGTGGATGATTATTTCCATTAACATGACAAATTGGGCATTGATTTATTGACTGTTATCGAGTCTCGTGGAGATTATAAATTTTATAAGGTGTTAGTGCCCTGTTTTTTGCCCATTTTAGAATGATGCTTTTTGTGAACGCTATTAATAAAACATACGGTTTGTAAGCACATGGTAAGCTTTTTCAATATACAAGATATTTTAAATCCGCGTATCCATGTATCACGTTTCATAAAAGAACTTGCCTTGTTTTTCTAAATAAACAATTTTTAATTTTAAAAAAATTTTATTTATAGAATATTATGTTTTATTATTATTCAATAATGATTTAATATCTCGAATGATAATATTGAATAATGAATACCTTCACTGAAGAACATGCTTTATTCTATTCTACCTTCCGTTTGTATGAATTTTACATCTTACAGCTCTCTCAGTTCGTGATTGTTTTGTAGCGCGCTTGCCTTTTTTTGACAAAAATGCATGACCGCATATTTTTTCCACCTCTCTCTTTTCCCACGTAAATGTAATTACTTTTTTGTTTCTTGCATACTTATCTTTTCTCTGATCCCGTCAGCCGCTCTTTCCTATTGCTTTCGTCTATCTCGGTAATTTTCTCGTCTCTTCCTTCTCTGATTTCCTTGTTCGTGCCCAAGATGCATCTCACTCACAACGATGGATTTTAATTATATATTTTTTACGTACTTCCTGTTTCCCTTCTTCTTTCTCAACATTTTTGGCAGTCACGAGAATTTTGTAGAACAAAAACGCAAAAATATGCAAAATTTCGATCGATTCGAATCAATTATTTTCTTTTGATATAATTCTCTCGATTTGAAAATAACTGTTCTGTACGATAACACGAAAAAATTTCTTTATTTATTCAACGAAATTATTTAACGTTTAAACAAAATGTATACAGTTAATTTATAAAGTAAAAAATAAAATAACATTGATTTCTATAATTGATGTATTTTTGATAAATTTACTTTTTTTCTGTATAGAAAAATACTTGAATTTTTTATAAAAAAATCAAAATTTTTCTTGTTTGCAAAAATAACATAAGTACTGATTTACAGATATAAATAATAACTTATGGAAATTTATTGCATAGGCGATAAATAACATTATGAAAGAAAACGATCTCAACTAATACGTCATTTCACATTGTTAAATTCACGATAATAATTCTCTTTGTCACTAGCATTTCAAATATTATTTAGAAATATTCTCAATATTTCTTGTTATCAATATTTCTGTTTACCTATGATTTATATAATTCATTCTATACATAATCGAGGTATTTATTATAAATTCTACTTCAATTTAAAACTTTAATCTTTATTTGATTTGCTTAACATGTCAAAATAATAACTATTATCGTGAGATAATTTAACTATTTACCTATTAATCTGTATTAAAATACATTTAATACAATTTAATATTAATTAAATAATTTATTATTATATATCATTATTATTTATATATGCCTTGTTAATATATTTTATTGATGTATTAATATGTCAGATACAATCATGATATGTTTGTATCATGATTTGTTACTTATATTGCATTATTTATTTCACGGACTCTTGAATATTTTTGCATAAATCTCTCTCTCTCTCTCTCTCTCTCTCTCTCTCTCTGTCTCTCTCTCTCTCTCTCTCTCTCTCTAACCGTGCTGTAATTAAAGAGTGATAGAAAGTTCAATTAGGGGTAATACTTCTCTCCAACATCGTGCTTTCTCTTATAACTCAATAACACATTCCGTGTTACGAATACACAGGCGGGTATAAAGCTGCGGGTTATAAATTACGTCGGCAAACTTCGGCGCGGTGGAAGGCGCGGCGGGAAGAATATTGGCGGCGCACGCAAAACTAAACAAACCTTTCACGAGGATCCTAATGACACGTAACGAACACGACTGACATGAACTATGCCCGAACTTCAAAACGCGAGAGGTAGTGTAAATACTGAAGAGGCAAGGAGAAATGCAAGAAAATGGAACTATATTACAGCAGAGGCGAACGAGCATGGGAATTAATTATACCTAAATGTGTCAAGTTCTTAAACTGATGTTTGATTTTATAAATAGACTATGAAAATATAAAAGTTGAAAATCTTTTCTTTTTCAGTATGTTTTTCCGTTTATAAACTGACAAAGCCAGTCGATCTGCTGGCAACAAAAAATGATCAGATTTTGATACTTTAAAAAGAAATATTGTTATTTATTCATATTATTATCTATATTAGATATAAAACTTAACCATAAATTAAATATAACCATATACAAAAAGCAGTCAAATTGATTATTAATGTTTTACTTAAAAAAGTTGAATTTAGTAAAATTTAATCTTATTTTTATATAATCATATTTGATATAATCATATTTGATCTGTTCTCATATATAATCAGCTGAATATAATTATATAAAAAATAAGATCATATCACGATAAATTTCAGATATATATAATCATATAAACTTATATAATATAATATTTATATAATTACATAAACCCATTTTTTCTCGGGCTGATATAATACTTGAACAAGAATTGCAATTATTGGTAAAAATTATATCATCCTTATAAAAGAGCATAAAGCTGTCTGATTGTCTGATCAGCTTCAAAGCAATTTACCTATTTACCGTCATTTGTTCATCGATCGATTGCGGCGCATGCCAATTGCCAATAGGAAAACCACCATCTGCTGTCAAATATTCGTTTGAACGGTAGATTCGCTACCATTCCCCCGAGCATCGACGTAGTATCGTGCGATCTCAACAAATTATCCGGTAGTTATCGCCCTTCCCATCATGGAGGACATCAGGCTGCACAAATACTATCGAGCGTCCGGATATGGGTTGAACTCGCTGGTCAGGAATGCAGATCGATTAGGGTTATCTCGAGTTCTTCGTCGAAGACTTCGATTTTTCATGAAACCTGTGCTTTGTATTTCAGATATACCGATTTCTCGTCATGGATTACAATCTCAGACGTTTTTTCAATTTGAATGCTTATTGCGGAGCGGTGACTTTTGTTACGTTTATCTTTGCAGCGATTATAGCCATTTGTTCAATTGCAGTGAGTTCAGTATAAAATGATTTTAATACTAAAATAGAATAATTCTACTTTTTTTATTAAAGTAATTCTAAAGTAATTTTGCTTAGAATAAACTTTTTTAAATTTTCGCGAACAATTAAAAATTTATGCATTACCATCCGCGGTGGCTCTTATTCGCTAGTTTCTTATCGTATTGTTTAAATACATATAGAGCCTAATTCCTTTCAATTTATTTAAATTTTTTTACTTTTTTGAAAAATCAGATAAATAGAGGACATCTACAAATAATGAAAGATTATATTAACCATATGAAATCTGGTTAATATAACCAGAAAAAAATCTAATAATTTCTAAATCTAATAAGTTCTAAAAATCTGATAATTTTATTTATATAACACAAGCATTGAAAGTCTCTAGATGCAATTATCCATTTATTAGAGAAAATTCAAGTGAGCTTATTAGTCTGGCAATTAATTTGCACATGATAACACTGGAGATTCAATACAATAATTAAAATGCTATTGACAATGCGAATATACGGTTCTATAATTAATTGTTTGCTTTAAAACCAACGTAATAATATTAATTCGATGTTTAATTAATCAAGAAACAATAAATTCGCAGAATTATCGATATATGTCTTATATCAAGGTAAGGTTTTTAATATTCATCGCGTTATTGTATAAAAAAAAATGGGTCATTTGTCTTTTAAAAACCTTATCAACAAACTATCTTGTCGGTTTAAAAAAAATATAAACAATTTTATGAAACAATCACTTGAATACTGACATGTTCATGTCAGTATATATTGTAATAATATAATTCTTATACATGCGAAAAAGTACACTTTTAATTGGAAAAGAAATTTCAATTATTTTCCACGCAATAGGACATTTGTTATAATTCTTATCGAAATAAGGAAATTTCACAGAAATTATAATTTCGTACTACAAACAAATTATTCCCAAATAAAAATTTTTTATTGATTTCTCTCTGTTATTTTTTCTTTGTAATTGCAAGGGATTTATTTCATGATAAACTGAATTAAAAGACACGTAATATAATAGTTGCAGGTTTTAACTATTTGTGATAAAATTTGATTTTTAAAATAATGAAATTATAAAAAAATATAAGAAATTTGAAAGTTAATTTAAAATGATAGAAATTTAATTTATTTTAATAATGCATAGGTTTTTTGCCTCAAATAATTAAATCTTTATTCTCACGTTAGAGTTTAAACACGGTAATGTCGAACGGCGCACTTTTTCGTGAATTGTTCAAGAAAGCGGAGAAGGTAAGTTGTGGCAGTCTCGGCAATCACAGTCAGATTGAAGTTTGATCGAGGCTAGAATGATATTGAACCATACTTTAAAAGCCAGATGCTGACTACCAATAATTTATAGAAGTTACCACGGATGAAGAGCGTCATTAGTATCATACCTCCGTATAAATGCATTCATAAACATGTAAGCATGTTAATAGTCGAGTATCCAAAATTTTAAAAATATACGATTAGTAATTTTACATCGCGTAATAATTTTGATTTTTTTCAGCTGCAACGGATGAGCGTGTTCCAAGAGAAAGCGAAGAAAATGGTAAGCATTAAATGATAATCTATATAATTGCCTCTTCGTTAGTCTGTCATTGGTTAAATATTTTACCGATTTCCGGATTTCACGGCAGTTATGCAAGGAACAACTGGAGCTGGAAATAATGAACAGCAAAATGTCGTGCATCGAGAAGCTATTGAAACCGGAGGTAAATTATTTGTCTCGATAAATGAGTCTCATTGCGCGGTCAGGTCGTTACTCACAAACGAAAAAAGAGAGAGAGAGAGAAAGAGAGAAACATCGTTTGAAACTTATCTCGTATCCTTTTGTCGCGCTTTAATTCAGAATCATAGATAAAAATCATCGGGCCGTGACCTCCATTCGTCCCTATTCAGAATTTACGCACGCAAAGATCATCGACCTCAAATAATTTAATAATTCGCAGACTCTCTGCGGCAATGTGAATACGATGGAGATTGCGGAAACCCACATAGTCATCACGGATCGGTGCTGATCGCGAGCTCGCGAGCTCGCTTTTAATTAAAGTTTCGCCATCGTCGAAAAATGAGAGATTTTAATAAAATGCATTTACCGCAATTTTCCGCGTATACGCGTCGGATATCGTTACGACAGGAAGTGGTGTTTTCTGCGTGATAGGCACGAGACGACCTATAAACTCTGAATTATCAAAGGTCACATAAACGCATCATGTCTTTCGGTCGGATTAGATCAGTCTCGGTATAGCTTGACCGTTCGATTGGCAGACATAAAATTAGATTTATGCTCGACCCTATCTCCCAGACCTTTATGCACTATCCGCGAGTTTATATTGCTTGACGAGATATTTTTATTTATCCCGTTAACCCTTTCGCACGCATGTTGAATGTGTGCGTGTATATATTTCAAAATATTTCTCCCTTTAAGTACGTTACTTCCTACTGACAATGGAATTAATAATTTATATCGGGACATCGTGTCGAATTAACAGGATAAGAAGAACGATAATATTATACATTACGGTATTTACTATAAATAGTTTTTTTCTCGAAAGAAACGAAGAATATAAAAAAATTAGACTATTTTAATCAAAAAATTGTATTCGATTGCAATAAAACTTTTTAAATTATAATAATTTAAAAATTTTCTCCCTTGTTTCTTTTAATTTATATCAAACAACTGACAAATCGTATGCGCGATATTATGTTGTACATTTCATTGTTAATAAAGTTATAATATATTTTGTATTAATTGAACATTGTAATGAATATAAAAGCTTATTAACAGTAATCTCCGCCTCTGAGAGATTTTAATAATCATATATATATTTATATATATTACGTGCTAATAATACGTATAATTTTTATGCTGACAATAATCTCTTTTTCAATCTTCTTTTTCAGGAACAATCGGAATGGCGTCGTAGCAGATCACCAAAGGTATATCACCGTCCAATCAATACAGAGGCATCGAAATAAGAATATATATATTGAAACGCAAAATACACAATATTATATATATATAATTTCGATACTATTCCATTTTCAATTTCATAACTGGCAACGTTGTCAATAGCGATGTTAATTGATGTAAATGAAATAATCGTTGCCTGATATCACGTTTTAACAGAAAGTAAATCTCATGACGTACATAATGAAGTAATACATTTACATATCCCTATAACGTGCTCATTAATTGTGAGCAGTTAATTGTAAACATTAATAATTGTGATTTGATAAACGTCTCGAAATTAAATTGAATTTATTTAATCTATTCATTCTATATGTATTTATAAATACGAAACACAAATTATAATGACATAGTATACGCTATCATAAACGTAAATTAGTACAAGTTTTAATGAATTATAACTGCGTTCGATAAAATATAAAGTTAAAAGTATTTTTATGCGATGGTAGCAAAAAAAATTGTTGCAAGCAGTGGTTTTGTCACATCGTGATATTGCTCTGAATATCCTACAAACAAATGTAATTTTCGTATGATCACATGTAAAACAGTATAAATTGTGACCTATTAAATAAACTGCTTACTGTATAAAAGCGCGCCGATTCTGTGACAAAACTTTCGCTATTGAAATAGTCAGCAGTGCGCCAGAACTTTTGTGCGTACTGAAATATATTGAAAAAGAATGCGACAGCCTTTTTGCGGTTGACCATACGAATATTCGTGAATTTTTTAAAAAGTGAGCGCTATAACGTCGCTTGTATTGCTATTCTGCCTTTTTCATGTTTCAATATTCAAATTCTTTAGATTATGTTATTCAATTAGTATATTTATACGAGAAAAATTAAAACTGTTCGGAATGTTGTATTTTATGTTATGTTTTATGAATATTGTGTTTTATATAAAATACATTTCGTATAATTATATCTTTATTTAAATATATATGGATATATTTGTAAAATATAATAATGGGTAGAAATCGAGACAATAATATCTCGTGATTTGTGTCATTTGTAACATGTTTTAATTGTTCTCGATTAATTTTAATCATTATATATGCAGAAATATCGAATTGACACACACAACATTGCTAATTATTCAATTTAAAAATTAAATTTTTCCTGCGAAATCCTAATTCAATTATAATGGTAATAAAATCTTGTATTTACATAGAAACGTTCAAAGTATCATTTTCGTGCTTAAATCAATTCGTTCGACGTAACCGAAGTTCTCGAGATCGAAGAATTGTTCGGATATATGGCGATATACGTTATGCAACAATGAAGGCTATTGTGAACGCTACACCATTGTCTTAAGATACATCAGTTGAAGTTTAACGCTATTATCCCATTCGTAAATAAGAAAACACAATCTAGCATGATTAGAATCTACCAAACTTCAACGTTCTATTATCTCAAGACGATCGCTTGCTTATATTACGCGTGATCGTTGCAGTGCATTGTGCTTGCGCATATCATTGACGTGATAGTCTAAATAACTTCAACTCTGATAAATTCATACTGCAAGAAAATAAATAGAAAGCAATAAACAAATAGGAGCGAAACTATTCTACTTGCTAAGATGCTTGTATTCGAACCTTCCCTTTCACACTTTGAGATTTTTAATTTTTAAAAAATATCAAACTCTTGGAAAGAATTTCGCGAAAATACATACATACATTATACAAGATATTTCTTAATAAGTGCAAAAAATTATAGAAGATGATTCTTTATCGAAAATTAAGGGGGGTTTTTCATATAAATATATACTCCTGCATCTCTCCCTGTAGAGCTACACTCCTCCAAAAATGGGGGTAAAAATTAGATTATTTTTTTCTCAAATTTGGAACAAGTTAAAAAGATGAAATTAGATGGATATTTTCTACTAGTAAAAAGGTTATTTATAAATATTTGTTTCTCCCATATTGTTATAAGGGGATGAAATTAGCAACCCCTGCTCAATTTTTCAATAGAACTTTTTAATGTTTATATGAAAAATCCCTCTTAATTTTCGACGAAGGATCATCTCCTAAAATTTTTCGCACTTATTAAGAAACATCCTGTACATCATGTAGAAAATCTCTCGAGAATGCAAAGAACGGATGAGATAAAATATTCTTCTCGATTGGAATCTTCAAATTGTACGCGATCTACGTTTCGTCTTTACACCCCTGATTTCTTATTCTCGATCGAACTCACCCCGCGTGCCGACCGATCGCGCACGGTTCCGCGTCTTTTCTTCCCGCTCGTGTTTGCGGATGTCGCCAGTAGTGCCAGTCCGGACTGTCTCGGCGCAGCGGGTCTGGCCACGAGCGTCTGTTTCCACCTTCTCCGATCCCCGCCACGGCTACGGAAGTGGACTGGCTCAGGAATTGAACCGCCGCGGCTACGTGGCCGTACGAGAACAGCAGGGTCTTTGCTCTCGTTTAATATTTTAGCCAGTCCATTGGCTGCTACCGCTCGGAGGCATCGACATGCGCCCTAGCTTTCGGCTCTCGTTCCGCTTACGTTCCGCTTCGCTACACGCGGCACGGCACGACACGACACGACGACACGACACGACACGACACGACACGGCACGGCGCGCTCTCACACGCCTCGTTACGTCAGACCGGCCAAACTTTCAGCTCCGGGGGTAATCTAACGAATGCGCTACACGCGCCATTCGATATCGATATGGGGATGAGACGGGTCGATCCGCGCCGCGCGCGCTCGGCCTATTTATTCGGCCATCGATCCCGCGGCTATCGAACCGCAACGATGGCCGCTTATGGTTCGGAAAGTGTTACATTCCGATTGATTCGAGAGAGGACGTCGTTATATAAACGGGTGGATCGTTATCGTATCGTTAAACTCGGATTTTCGTCTCGATACGTTGTTTATATAATCGAACGGCAGTAAAAAAGGCAGAAACACAATTGGAATCTGAGCAACTAATTTGCAAACTTTAATTTCGACATCGAAATTCTTTCTTTTTTTTTAAATCCTTTTTTTTTAGACTCTTAATTTTATTTATTTATTTAACGCAGGGCAAGGTTCTTATCCTTGCGAAAGTAAAATAATTTCATTTGATAGTATCGAAAATTGGAATTGATATTTTGGGAAGAAGTAAGATAGTTTGGTGCTTCAAAATTATGATGTATGGAATTATGTTTGATGTTTGTAGGAATTAACGCGAGGGAATATTCCACGTTTGCTTGATATAATGTTGATGAATGGATAATTTCATGAAGTTTAGAGAATCAGCCTTATATAGCTAATTCTTCCACGCGAGATAAGCCATGTAAATCTTGTGTTAATATCACGAAGAAATATTAACGCATCTTATAACTGCAACATGCGGTAAATATTTATCGTAACATTTATAGTATCGTGTGTCTGTTACATTATATATATTACATTATTAATATTTACAGATATATTACATTATTATTTGAAAAAAAAAATTGGGAGACAATCTTTTTTATATTTGACTTTAAAATTCAGAGGAAACGCAATCCACCTACTTCTATTTCTACCACCTTCGTGCTACGATCTCCGGATTTTTAGACCTCGTGAAATGGCAACCTAGTGTTGACGTTGGGAAATCGGGTATAGACTAGCTTCTATATCTCCTGTACTACGTGGTCACTGAACCGTGTGGAGAATTTTTAAAGTAGAAGAAACCTTACACAAGCGTACACACCACTACAAGCGTAATATAGTTGTCTAAAAATATAATTTGCAATATACTTTTCGTATAACATATTCTAAAATCGCGTATCTATAATGCCTAATATAGAACATATATATAGTATCAAAGCTAATTAATAAGTAAGATTTTAATTATTTTAACTTGTCGGTAAAATAATGATTAAATCTAGTTCAAATCATCAATTTAAAAATAAGTTGAAAAAAATTTGTCTACTATATAAAAATTGAAATAAATAACGATTGATTTAATTTAAAAGATTGATCGATGTTTTTGTGTTTCCGAAGCACGATTCGACTCGGCTTCTTTTGTTGTCCATCAACTATAGTCAGCAAAGCCATATATATGTTGATCGGCATTTTGTGCCGACTGGCATAGATCGATTGATACGTATTCAGTAACGGGTACTGCCCAATGAGCTTGTTGATCGGCAAAGCCGATTATAGTACATGTAGAAGGCGTCTCAAGGCAGAAACAATCGTGCAAATTATGCGCAAACAGATTTAGGAGAATACGCAGGATGAAGTTTGAGAGATTAGATTAGTAAATGGAATAAACTGTTAATATTTGGAATGAAATTAAATATTCATTGTTTGATTTTATTAATGAAATTATTAAAATTAAATTTATGAGAAATAGATTTAAGAATATATTTAACTTCTAGTTTTAATTCTCCTTATTTATTCTGTGCCACAGCCGAACTGTTCCAATGCAGCTTCTTTGAAAGATTTATATTAAAGTAATTATATATTTTACGTATTATATATAAGAGACTTTCTCGTAGACAAACGTGTTATGTCAATGCTCGGCAATTCGGAAGGTGGTAATACAATTTGGGAATGACTTTGGTCGTAGAGGGAATTACACGAAAACCCCATTTATTCTACGTGTCGATAAGCCTTTGAGAAATCGATCGCACCGCAGCAGGCAGGTTGTTTATGCAAGTGTTACGTTACTACGCCGATAGCCTCGTTTGGCAAGTGTCTCGCGTCGCCATGCTTTACCGCGAAATAACCCAATAGCTCTGACACATATCTCTGTAATGCCCAAACTTCGAAAATTTTAGACACGCGGCCATCAATGATTTCGCATCTATAAATGTGTTCACATCCAGACAGTCTTGCTGTTTAAATCAAATATAACAAACGCATGAAATGAAATATATCAATCCATTGTTAAACGCATGTATTTTTTTAAAGAGGAAATAAAAAAAGAGTTTATTTCCATCAAGCTTTTGAACGTTTCTGCTTTTGAAAATTTTACGGTTTGATTTTCAATATCAAATCTGGCGTACAGTATAGAAAGAAAATTTTATGAATATAAG